GGCATAGCGAGCAGATCGAGGGACGTGATCGTTCCCGTCTATTCGACATTGGTGAGGCCTCATCTGGAGTACTGTGTCCAGTTTTGGGCCCCACACTTCAAGAAGGATGTGGATAAATTGGAGAGAGTCCAGCGAAGGGCAACAAAAATGATTAGGGGTCTGGAACACATGAGTTATGAGGAGAGGCTGAGGGAGCTGGGATTGTTTAGCCTGCAGAAGAGAAGAATGAGGGGGGATTTGATAGCTGCTTTCAACTACCTGAAAGGGGGTTCCAAAGAGGATGGCTCTAGACTGTTCTCAATGGTAGCAGATGACAGAAGGAGGAGTAATGGTCTCAAGCTGCAGTGGGGGAGGTTTAGATTGGATATTAGGAAAAACTTTTTCACTAAGAGGGTGGTGAAACACTGGAATGCATTACCTAGGGAGGTGGTAGAATCTCCTTCCTTAGAGGTTTTTAAGGTCAGGCTTGACAAAGCCCTGGCTGGGATGATTTAACTGGGAATTGGTCCTGCTTCGAGCAGGGGGTTGGACTAGATGACCTTCTGGGGTCCCTTCCAACCCTTATATTCTATGATTCTATGATTCTATGACCTGGGACTCTGTTCAACCTCCTTTGGGGGTTTCTGAGTGGGAAATGCCCCACATCTTGCCTTTCCACTCAGGATGTGGCAGCAGTCTCTTTGGCAGCATCTCCATGCCCTAGTGTTGCCCATTGTTGTGGCGGGTGAGTGTCCCTCACTGCCCAGCCCCATTTGAAGAGCCTGGCACAGAAAGGCATGAAACTCTGCCTTCCCCAGCTCTTCACATCATCAATTTCCTAAGAGAACAAACTCCCCAGCGTAAGTCAGAGAGCTGATGTTTGCACTTCTGAGAGCTGAGGATAGAACCCAGGAATCCTGGCTCCCAGCCCCCACCACTGTAACCATTAGACATTACTCCCCTCCCAGAGCTAGAGACAGAACCCAGGAGTCCTAAATCCCAAACCTCCACCACCCTGACCATTAGACCCCCGCTCCCCTCTCACAGCCAGAGACACAACCCTCGAGTCCTGACTCCGAGGCCGGCTGCAGTAACCACCAGACCCCACTTCCCTCCTAGAGAGCTGGGAACAGAACAGGCATCTCCAGCATTTTGCTTTCTCCCCACTGGGACACCTAGGTGACAGAGGGGACAGATCTGCACTGCTGGCTATTTGCCACATCTCAGGGCACTCCAACCACCCCCCGCTCCCAGTTGATGCACGTGGCCCCACCTCATTAGAGCACGGAGGAGGAAAGATTTGGCAGACGTTAAGGAGTTAAGACACCCCTGCGCGCCTGACAAGCCTATAAATCCTCATTAAGGGGTTTTTCGCTAGTTAAACGATTTGATGCAAGAAACGGGGCCTTGAGGTTGTTGTTTCAAAGCAACAGGTCAGAGCCGACAGATGGACCAGGCAGGCAGGGAGAGGGTGGCTCCCTCTTGATGGATCAGATTCGGAGTCCACTAGCACCCAGCCCCATCACCAGTCCCAGGGCTGAGCTCCCCAGATCCAGATGGGACTGGAACGCTCCTTCACTTCTTTGGTGTTTGGAGCCTTTCCCTCTCTTGTCCCCCCTCCAAACTCCCTCAGCCGACGCACCACAATCACTCCATACACTGAACCCCCAGGAGGGCAATTCACAACAGCCATGAGAACATTTCACAATGCAGTTATGGGGAATGGACTTGGAGGGGATCCTGTATACCACACATACACTGCATACATATCATACATAGAACTTGACACCCGCACTGCATGCACATCCACACTGCATGTGTACTCACACTGGATGCTGAGCATGCACACTCACAACATTCACATACATATACACACACACAAATATGGCTCATCTGTCCTAGCTTGCACTTTTGCACCAGTGCAAACCCCTCATGGACCAAGCAACTCTCCCCAGCATGAGCCACGCCAGTGCCAGCCATATTTTACAGCAGTGCAGCATGTTTCATGTTTGCCTGATTTGCCAGCACCTTTGCACAGCTGCAAGCGTGACCTACACCCCAGTCAGAGTGGAAGCACTTTGCGCAATGTGAGCAGGTGCACAAGTGCAGCCAGGCTTCTGGTGAAAGTGTGCTGCAGCCATAAAAAAGTGACTGGCACCAGGGCTGCATGCCCTTGTGCCACAGAAACATGCAGAAAGAGCCTACCTGGGCTCTATGAGGCTGCTCTATGTTTATACCCGCAGCTAATGGGCAGCTCCAGGCTGGCCAAGCCTGTAATCCATCCCGGCATGCCAACAGTGCTGGGCTTGGCTGGAGCACCCTCTGCTGGTTGTCAAGGAGACTCAGCTGGCAGAGGGGAGCAGGGTGGCTAGGCCCACAGACCCGATCTGGGTCAAGGTGCAGCTACAGAGTTCAATAGTGATTTTGTCTCTAACAGGAGGACTCCCAGTATGCAATTCTCTGAATGACAGTCAGGTGCCTGGCACCTTGCTTGTCCATGCCAGCGGGTGGCTCTGCTGGCAGCTGGGTTAGAGCAGTGGGAGTTCTTGAATGCCTGCAGCTGAACCTTCCCCTGCTTTGCTGGTGCCAGTCCCTCTCCTCCCCTTTGCTTCCAGCTGTTCCCCTTTCGCCTGCATCTGAGCCGCTGCAGACCAGTCCCTGGCGCATTCTACTGCTGATCAGTTTCCCCCACCCAGGGCCTCCCCAGACTGTGGCAGAGAAACAGCAGTCAGGGAGCTCTCACTCCATTCAAGGGGTCTCAGTGCATGCGGAGAGGGAGATCACTAATCCACAGATAGAGAAACTGAGGCATGGAGTGGCCATGGGACTTCCCCAAGTCATACAAGGAGTCAGTGAGAGAGCTGGGACTAAAACTCAGGAGTCCTGATTCCCAGCCACCCAATCCTCTTCCAAAGCCAGGAACAGAACCCAGGAGTCCTGAGGTAGTTTAATAGGAATAAGCAGCAAATAAAGAGGCCTTTCTATATCACTGTCTCTAACCCGGGCTCCAGCTGAGGTTTCAGAGCACAGGTCTAAGGCCTTGGCGTATGAGAAGCCATCATGGCTCCCATCTCTGCAGCCCATCTGTGGTGCAGCCCCAGTGCCTTCTTGGGGTTAACATCAGATGTGGGGCTCTGTAGTCCTTGGGAAGGGACCCTCAGGCTCAGGAAAGCCCCCCTTTGCTGCGTTGGAACATACCTCCCACAGCCTGGGTTCTGGGAAGGCTGCCCCCTACAGCCCATCTGCCAAGGTGCAGGAGACACCCCACAGTCTGGGCATTGGAAGGCTGCCCCCTACAGCCCAACTGAGAAGCTGCAGGGGGCACCCTGCAGTCTGGGCACTGTGCAGGCTGCCAAGGTCCAGGGCTGACCCACTTCCCTGTTATTACATCCAAGGTTGCAAAAGTGCCACTTCCTAAGCAGCAGGTTAAACTCCTCCCTGCTTCCCCTTCACGGGACAGAGCAAGCTAGCAGCTGCAGCACAACCTGGTGGGCAGGGCACTAACTGGGACTTGCAAGTCCTGGGTTCCTTTCCCTGCTCCAGCCTCCATGTGGAGTGATCTGCTGTGGGTGTATCTCCACTGCAGAGTGCACCTGGGTCTGGGAACCCAGGTTAGTCACACCCTCCTGCAAGTAGCCACACCAATGGAACTAGCCCACGCTGGTGCTGCAGTAGCCCGGGTTAGGTGCAGGGATTTCTGGAGGTGGATTTCCAATAGTTTGGCACCTACCATTGGACCCAAGCTTTTCAGGTTGGCACCTAAACAAGGCATAGATCTTCAGGAGACCTCAGCCCCTCACAGTGCTCCTTTGACAATCTGGCCTCTGTTGCACGTGCGCTGCTTTTGAAAAGCCATGCCTCGGTTTCCCCACCTGTATTTCCCTGCCTCCTAGGCATCTGATTACTGACAATGAGCTGCTTGGTTACTGAACCATAGATGTGTGGGCACAATTGGGGACAGATACTCAGACCCAAGGGGCTCTGCAGGACATTAGTGGGTGCTGCTCCCCTCCTGGCTGAGGGAGATTTCCTGTGTTAGGTAACCTCTAAGGAGCGGGATTACAGTCCTTGTGTTCACTATGGCTTGCCAGAGACTTAACGCTCATTCACTATGCTGTAGCAGGAGAGTCAGTGTTAAAGCCTCCGGGCCAAACACCACACCCTGCAGCCATGCCACTGGGGTATCAGCCAATCATGCTGAAAAGCACAGGGCCTGTTTGGTACAGTGTGACCAGATAGTAAGTATGAAAAATTGGAACAGGGGGTGGGGGGGTAATAGGAACCTATATAAGACGAAGCCCGAATATCAGAACTGTCCCTACAGAATTGGGACATCTGGTCACCCTAGTTTGGTATCAGGATGGGAGACTGGGGTTTAATGCAAGGAAAGTTTGGGGTAAGAGCGCTCTCCCTTTGCAGTCAGTGCTGGCCCCAATGCCACAGTGCAGCTTTAAGGGGTGCTGTGCTGCAGAGAGTGGGCTGTGAGTGTGCACAAGGGTGTCCATGCGAGCGTGAGTGCACAAGAGTGTCTGTTCAAGGTGCCCATGGGAGCATGTGAGGATGAGTGTGTGCAAGGGTGTGAGCTGCCCATGTGAGAGTGCATGAGGGTGAGTGTGTGTGCATGAGTCCACAAGCTCGCGCAGGTCGGCCGCCTGGCACCCAGCTGGGGTCAGGGAAAGGCAGGTAATAGAGCAGAGGAATGTGCCCCCAATAACTAACACAATGTTAACCATCTCCGCGGCCAAGTCAAACAGGGAGTGGGAAAGGGCTCAGTTAAAGATTGATCAAAGGCTGGCTGTCTCCAAAGACATTTCAACATCGCTGTGTTCGCTCTTGCCAGTTTATGACACACGCCCCTCCCCGGTGTTAGAGCAACAAGCGAATGGAGCCCTGCTTGGCTGGAGGGAGAACACTCCAGGCACGCGGCCCTGCCGGCCAGCCAAACTCTCAGCAATTGCAAACAATAGCTCAGGCCTGGCGTTGGAGGCCAGAGACGGGGTTGGCGGGAGCTGGCCACATACGTAACTCTTCCCTGAGGTGGGGCCTGGATAGCACAAGGCACGTGGCTGTTCCTAGAAGGGATTCCAAGAGAGAGGACGTGAGGTTAGTATTGTCACTCACAGGACATGACTTTGCTATCAACACTGATTTTAGGTGGAAGGCACCCAGATGTGATGGTGACGGTGAAGCAGGAGAAAATCCTAAAACAGACTATAGTAGTACCCAGAGATTGCATCAGAGACTGGAGCTCCCATTAGCTAATGCATGTGTCAAGGCAATCTGCTCTGAATGCCTCCCCCAGCCCCACAGCATTCTTGTCCTTTACACACACATACACACACACACCCCCATACACACCCACAGCATTCCTTCCTAGCAAACTGTGTTCTTAGGAAGGGGAGGCACACTTTTTTGGGACCAACCATTTCACAACTTGGACCTTGGAAGGCAGCTGCCGTGAAAAGATTCCCTGGCCCAGCTGCGCAGGGGGCTGGGCAGAGAGGCAGCTTAGGTTTCCTACCGGAAGCGAAGGAGTCAGTGGTTTCCTTGATCAGGAATGGTTGAGCTAAGAGCAGCCCTCCCACACCAGCACCACCCAGACGAGTGGGACCTGTCGCATAGGCCCAAGCAACACCGAGATGCTAACGGAACAGGGATTAAAGAACTGAAACACAGGAGGGATGGGAAAGGCCTTGTGGGTAAGACACCGAGCTGGGAGTAAAGAGATCGGGGTTCAATTTCCGGCTCTGCCACAGACTCCCCATGACCCTGGGCAAGTCACATCACCTCTGTGCCTTACTTTCCCCACTTGTAAAATAGGGAGACTAATTCTTTGTGTATTTAGACTATGAACTGTCTGAAGCAGTGAATCTCTCTCACTAGGTATCTGGGCAGGCCCAACACAATGTGGGTCCCCATCTCAGCTGGGGTCTGGCACAACAGCGGGCCCACTCTCAGTCAGAGCCTCTAAACACTGCTGTCATATAAATAACAATGAGACAGTCCCTGCTGGATGTGCCCAAAACATGCCCAGCACAGATGAGCCCTTTCCACATTGGAAAATGGCCACCGAAAAATTCCCCCAACGTTTATTTCACTTGAAAATGGGCAGAAATAGAGGACATGCTCGACATTCTAAACTGCATCAGTTTCCCTGCAAACCAACAGCTGCTGGAGGGGAGATCACTGCTAGGCGCAGGTGGGGTGGAATAATTTGGTAGGAGGTAATCAGGATCTTTGGGAATGGCCCCCCTCTGGGGCAGAGGGAAGGGACTCTCCAACAGCATTTGGGCGAGATCCTCAGCTAGAGCTCTAGAGACAGAACTCAGCTGAGGAGCAGTACCCACATTTCCAGGCCAGTCTCCAAGTGTTTTGCCCTCTGCTCCCAGGAAGTTCCTCATGTAGTGAGGGAGCTGAGCCCTGAAACCATGTCCCTAGCTCATGTGCCTCCTACAGACCTCCTGGCTGCTGCTCCTGGCCCTGCCAAGAAGCTGGGAGCTTCTTCCAACTGCTTGCTGGCCGGAGAGTTGTGTGCTGCTTGGAAGCAGTTTGTTAAAGGCTGGGCCCCAGGGTTGAACTCTTGCTTCCTGCACACATGGAGGGGACAGAAACAGCTGTACACAGATGGTCAGGGATGTGTCAGATGTGTCCTTTGACGTGGGTGACTGAGGATATAACTCCTTGCTCCAATGGGATACTTGGCTTAACGTGTTGACTGTTATGATTACAGTAATAGAAACCAGGCTGATATCAAGGCCCATCACTCCAGGTGCTGCATAGACTCCCACCAAAATCAGAGCCCCCATTGTGCTAGGCGCTGCACAGACTCCAAATGAGATCAGGGCCCCATTGTGCCAGGCATCTCGCAGACCCCCACTGAGATTAGGGACCCATTGTGCCAGACACTGTGCAGACACAGGGTGACAGGAAGTCCCTGCTCCAAAGAGCTCTCAATCGAAACAAAGGAAGGATCATTATCCCCACTTTACACATGGAGAAACTGATTCCCAGGGAGATGAAGTGAATTCCCCAAGGTCACTCAGGGAGTCTGTGGAAGAGCTTGGAACTGAATCCCGGTGTTCTAAGCCGCACTCCACTGCCTCGCCCACAAGCCCACATCTCTCCTGTTTTGCGCAGAGAGATTTCCCAGGGTGCATTTCAACCAGACATTTAAAATCTCAGTGTCCCAGCCCATGCCCACTTCCCTGCTGTCATCCTGCTCCTAGTAATTTTAAATGCAGAGCATATCGCAGAGACCTCCCAGCCTGGGAATCCCATCAAGACTGCACTGAGAGAGACATGAGTGATTGGAGCAGGGACAGACTCCCAGGAGGCTCTGCTTCCCAACTGCAGACTAGTTTCCACTGATGCTGCAGCCAGCCCACAGGCAGCCACTGATGCTCTACGAGATCTCCCCTCACCAGCAGATCTTGACACACACTGGGCTGGGTGGCCCAAATGCAACCCTCCCACACCCCCACGTGCAATTCTGAGTGCATCACCACTCCAATCTAGCTATTTATATGACCCCATTATTGTAGTATCTCAATGCTTCATAGTCTTTAATATATTGATCCTCGTAATCCCCTGTGATGCTCCCATCATGTCAGGCGATGCACAGATGCCTGGGATCAGGGCACCACACAGTGCTGGCTGCTGCACAAGACACCCTGACTAGAACTGAGCCTGCCGTTGTGCCAGGCACTGCATAGACCCTTGCCCAGAAACAGGGCTCCAGCCCGGAATTGGGGCTTCCCGTCATACTGGGTGCTGCACACTGTGAGATAGTCCCTGCCCTGAAGAGCTCACTGTCTAAACAGACAAAGGAAGGATTGTTATCCCCATTTTACAGATGGGGAAACTGAGGCGCAGAGATACTAAGTGACTTGCACAAGGTCACACAGGGAGTCTGTGGCTGAGCAGGGGCTTGAAACCAGGTCTCCCTAACATCTGAGCACCTAACATCTGAGCCATTCTCCTCCTCTGGCACAGGGCTTTAAAATCAGCCCCACAGGTCCTTCAGACATGAACAAAATGGGTACAAATGATTCCAGGTCTGGAGAACCTGCCTTGAAGTGAAACTGAAGGAGTTTGATCTATTTAGCTTATTGAAGAGAAGATAAAGAGGTGAGTTGACCCTGGTCTATAAGCACCTCCATGGAGAGGAGCTTTCTGAGAGCAGAGGGCTCTTCAATCAGCAGACAAAGGCAGAATGAGATACAAGGGCTGGGAGCTGAAGCTGGAAAAATTCAGACTGGGGCAAATCTTTTTTAACAGAGAGAGCAATTAACCATTGCAGAGATGTGCTGTTATGATGGAGGGTGCTGGTGGCTGCCAGCAAGTGTGTCTTTGATCTCTGCGCAATCACAGATCCTGGTAAAGCTGATGGGCATTCCAGCACCTTTCACTCAGGCTAAATGAGGGAGCAATTAAATGCCCCTTTGTATAGTGATAGCTGAAACAATAGAAGCCACTGTCCAAGGCATGGACCATCATGGGAAGGCCTGAGAAGAAGCTGAGTCATGTGGCTTGAGGGGTTTCCCTGGAGACTGATTGCAAACAGGGGGGCTGGAGCCTTGGTTTGGTTACAGCTATCTGAGTGTGTGTGAAAGGAATCAGAAAGGAAGCAAGGGAGAGAAGCACATGGTAGCATTCCCTGAAATGCAGGGCCATTTAGACATGTAGTACTACAGGGTCTCGATGCATGAATGAGAGAACGGTTTTTGGAAGAGGGATTTAGGTTTATTAGAAATTGGGGAATCTTTCGGGGAAGAAGGAGCCTATACAGGAAGGATGAGCTCCACCTAAACCAGGGGTGCTCAACCTATGGCTCCGGAGCCACATGTGGCTCTTCAGAAGTTAATATGCGGCTCCTTGTTTAGGCACCGACTCCGGGGCTGGAGCTACAGACAACTTTCCAGTGTGCTGGGAGGTGCTCACTGCTCTCCCCTTGGCTCTGCCAAGGGCCCTGCCCCCACTCCACCTCTTCCCGCCCCCTCCCCTGAGCCTGCTGTGCCCTCACTCCTCCCCCCTTCCCCCCCCCAGAGCCTCCTGCACACCCCAAAACAGCTGATCGTGAGGTGCGGGGAGAGAGGGGGAGGCGCTGATTGGTGGGGCTGCCAGTGGATGGGAGGTGCTGGGAAAGGGGTGGTGGGCGGAAGCTGATGTGGGGCTGCTGACGTATTACTGTGGCTCTTTGGCAATGTACACTGGTAAATTCTGGTTCCTTCTCAGGCTCAGGTTGGCCACCCCTGACCTAAACCAAAAGAGAACCAAATTTCTGGCATGTACAATTAAAAAGATTGTAGAGGAGTTTTTAAACTAAGGGATGGGGAAAATCTGACAGGTGCGAAGGAGCACACGATTCAGATAGGCACATCCCTTAGGGGAGGATTTATTAAAGGGTATACTTTATATCCTAGGAAAGAGGAGACGGTAGAAGTTGATAAAGTACAGGGAGGCACTGAAGAGAAACAGTCAAATGAAAAAAGAATCCCATTCAATTACATCATATGAAGGCAGATAACTAAACATTGACCAAATTTATAAGTGCTTGTATACAAATGCAAGAAGTCCAAATACTGAGATGGGTGAACTTGAGATTAAATGAGAATTAAATGAGAATATTGCTATTGGAGGCAACACAAAAACTTGGTGGAATGGTGATACCAGGGTATAAAATATACAGGAATGACAGAGTAGGTTGCAGTGGTGGACACAAATCAGACGTCAAGAATTACAACATTCAAAAACCAGTCGGAGAACACTTCAATCTCCCTGGTCACTCCACTACAGACCTAAAAGTTGCAATATTACAACAAAAAAACTTCAAAAACAGACTCCAAAGAGAAACTGCTGAATTGAAATTAATTTGCAAACTGGACACCACTAAATTAGCCTTGAATAAAGACTGGGGGTGGATGGGTCATTACACAAAGTAAAACTATTTCCCCATGCTTATTTTTTCCCCCTGTTGCTACTCACACCTTCTTGTCAACTGTTGGAGATGGGCCATCCTGATTATCACTACAAAAGGTTTTTGTTTTTTTTTCTCCTGCTGATAATAGCTCAC